TTTTTCTACTAAGATCAACTACGACAGCAGGTAATGCTTGCAGTCTGATTCATTTCTGCATATTTTAAAAGTCAAGAAACAGCAGAAGTAATATATTTATAAATTTTCTACTGTACACATGATATAAGATCTTGATGGCTTGCTTGATTCAGCTATGACATACTTGATGCCTATCACTGTACATTGTTTGTGGTGACAAACACCTTTAACCAACCAAGAGAGCACAAGCAAGCAATTCATTCTTCTATGCCTTCATTAGGAGCTGCAGACTATTAGATTATTACTGCTTCATGTTGCATTTAATTTAACATAGTAACTACTTTTAAGAAGCAGGGTAAAATATTCACCAACCAAGAAATACTGGCCCTTTGAAGTGGTGGAAAGTTCTAAGTACACTCACTGGGTCTATTTTGACAATCTGCATTGTGTATTAAGAGACAGGTTACAAAGCCTTATTGGCTTTGTTGTCTGGAATCATGACAAATGACAAATTCCTTGTCATTAGTAATTAATGGTTCAAGAGTAATGTTTAACATTCACTACGCAACTTTTTTTAAGCACTTAATAAGGAGATACCAATTTTTCCTTATATTTTTAAAGGATCCTACATATTCACACACTGAACCTACAGAAGATTTTAGGTGCCTCCTCACCAGAGCAGTGCCTACAGCCCTCATATACTTAACAGAAGAGTGGAATTTCTGTCCTTCAAGCTCACAAAACTTATCTTGATGACAGCAGGTTTGGTATGGTACTCAGGCTCAATGCCATGCTGGGGGGAATAAGAGCCCTTCCTGGATTCACACCACTGGCTGTTCTAAATTATGATTTTTTTAATCTGTTCAGTAAACACAGAACTCACCCAAGGCACAGCTGGGGGCTAAGTCCCAGTGCAGTGTGCAGAGAAATACTTGACCAGATGTTATATTGAAAATAGAACTGCTAGTTTCTCTTCTGAGTAGTGATATCAGGTTCACACAGTGAAAGAGGATATGGAAAAGAAACAGAAGTAGGAAACTGAATTGGTAATTATTATTTCCTTTCTCCAGAGCACCCTTAACCAGATTCATCTCAAATGAAGGTTGAGTCAAGCTGGAAAACTTATGGAACAGGTTTCTCTTCTGTGATCTCCCAAACAATCTTCACAGCTGCTCTAGAACATGTGTCAACTGCAAAGTAAATTCATATCCACTTTCCTCCATCTATGTCTTAACAAATTTTATTCTAACATTGTCCACTAGGTTTCCATTTCTGTGTTTTGCCATCTGGATCTCATCGTTATAAATATAAGTTACTTTCACCCACTTGGCTCACTTCATCTGTAGAGACTTTTTAAATGGCTTTAAAGATGATTTACTAAAAAAGCAGTGAAAGATCTAACATGAGAAGAGATTACTTAAGTAGAGAATTTCTTGCTTTAATGTCAAAATTATGTTACCAATGACTTCTGGCTTCCCGCACTGTTCACCCAGTTTCTGCATATTTGTTCTCTGACTTTATGTATCTACACAAGCACATGAGTTACTCAGAAGGCACCCACACTCACAGCAATGATCTACTCACAAATTTTAAACATCTGAAATACAAACGTGTAGTGTCAGAAAAGAAGACAGAAAAAAGGTCCAAACACTAATGGCTTTGTTTCTGAAACACTATGGAACACAGTGACTGAGCCCAAGAGTTAAAGACTTTATAAAATGAGTTTTCTTTTCCCTACTGAATTGTGTATTTCACCAAAACAGAACCAAGCTCCAAGAAAAAAAAGTCTGAAAGGACTTAGTCAATTATTCCAGTTACATTTTTAAATAGTTTTAGAAGTTTGTACTTTAAAGTCAAACTCTTATCTAACTTTGAAAGGAAACAAAAAAGAGTTACAGTAAGAACATAAACCAGCATTGCCAACTAATTGCTCGTGCCTCTTCTGGAAGCAGGAGCTGCCCTCTTTCTAGTTTATGTTCTCATATCTTCAGTGGCTCAAGTGGTACAGATCCAGTCTTGGCAATTAAATTTTGTAATCTCTTCCTCAAAATGCTGTTCAGGATTTTATCTTTAAACAGGACAGAAACATGACAAAGCTCATGTACAAAAGGAAAATAAAAAACAAAAAAAGGAAAGCACAAGCACTTAAAGTTGATTCTTCCCAGACGTTAAGGGCATCTTTTGCCTTAACATTTTTATATGATCAGGAGTGAAACATTAGGGATGAACCAGAAATGTTGCATTCTTTATCATTCTCCTCATCTGAATCTAAATTCAGCTGGTAAGAAATACCAGTTCAGGGCTCTGTATGCCCTGGCACCTGCTACAGGAAGTTTTTCCCAACAACAGGCAACCATTTAGTCAAAAGGGAAGTATTTTTGATTCTTCAAGTCTCTAAGAAGCACTTTAAACTCTACCCAGAAATCAAAAGGCAGGTCCTGGAGCTTCAGTGCCATAAGCATTGCAGAGATGCCCTTTTGGCAAATAAGCCCTTATCCTGTTTTCAATATTAAATTAAAAATTAATTTTTTTAAAGTGTAGTAAGAAAGGGCCAGGTTAAAAAAAGAGGCCAATCAGTCAAAAAGCTGACTGAATTACTTCTGAAACATGCTGTCAAAAACAGATGGGATAATTTTTGACTATCAAGGTTTTCATTTGACTAGAGATCTAACAGCACGCCCACTGTCTTCAAGGACTAATATTGCCTCTGGCTGCTTCTCAATACCAACCCAAATTTTTCTGGGCTAGACTTCAATCTGTTTGTCCAGTATAAGCTTGCCACCATCTGGGACATAGCCACACCATCTTCAGCTAAAGGGACAGGCGAGTCCCACTGTCTTCACTTCCTGCAGACTGAAGGAAAAAAATAAATATTGAGTTCTCCAACATCCCAAAAGCGACCTCAAAATCTCTGAGATTTGGGACTCTGTTACAGCATATACCTAATGGATTTCCAGTGTTATGTCACAAAGCATCTCCTGATTGGCTGGCATTTCACTTACAAGCCAAGAAGATGGAAGAAAATAGACGAAAACTGGGTACTTAGTGTTTTCTAAGGATGTCATGACATTTGTAATTCCTTCTCAACCTATAACAAAGGAACTAAGCCAAACCCTGTATCCGATGTATTTGCAATTATTGACATTGCAAAAGCAATCAAAAGAGCTGGGTTTGGCTTGGTAATATTTTCTATTCCCTCCATGATATTCCTTTAACTATTTTACGCTATTCTCTGACCCTGTTAAAAGCCATCTTACCAGAAACCCACCACTTTCCCATGTGAATGCACATCTAACCAAAATGAGCTGCCACTTTGCATTAGTGGTTCCAAAAGTCTCCTGATAGGAGCTCAGAAAGAACAGAAAATAGGGTGAAAGTGATGCATTATCCCTAAAATGCCGCTACGTCACTTGTCAGGGATTGCAATTAGAGTTGGGCCAAGGCAATGTTAGCTCAGCTGCCTCTGAACACACCTGTTTCAATTTAATTTGCAGTAATTAGGAAGCCTAGGGCACTAGGAAAAACTGCTGTTCACTCACTGTTTCAAATAGCTGAGTTTTCATGTGCCATTTAAAATGCTGTTTTTCAGAACAGACTGCTGACTTGCTAATGCTAGGAAAATGAAATACAGCAAAATATTTTTAGCAGCAGGAAGTTGTTGCTGGCTACTGCCAATTACATGCCTTGTACTTGAACAGTGACATTTTTTTCCCCTTGCTTAGCCTTCAAGATAGGTAAAAGCTGGCTGAGGTCTCGGGGCATGAGGATTTGAATAAAACTTAGTCCCTGTGAGCTGGTGGATATTTCTGGAGTCATAGTCAATTCTGGCAGCAATCTGCTGTGACAGAGCAAGCAACAGTGTCCCAGATCCACTACTCAAAAATGGGAAAAGGAAAGGATTAAGCAAGAGACTTGGATCTACTGGCTTTGGCAAAAGGCTGAATAGCTTGTCATGCTAAAAAGATTACTGAAATTGGGGAGTAGAAAATGGGGCAGAGGGGGGAGAAATAAAAAAAGCATTACAATTACATAAGAACAGATATTTATACTCTGAGTTAATTTATCAAACTGACAGAGAGATGAATGATCTACCATTAAAATAAGGGGATACAAGTTTTCTTTATATCACAATCATTATTTACAACTTTTAAATATTCACGGAGGAGTCAAGTATCCTCATCTTTTAATGTAAAATGTGGTCATTCAGGCCAAAAGAAAACTCTTGGCAAAAAAAAGTTTCTAAAGGAACAGGGCCCAAAGAATGATTTTTTCAAAAACAGGATAGATCTTAGCAATCATGATGGTACTTTTTTTTTTTTTTTTTTAATCTACACTGCAAACCACAGAGGGCTCTATAAACTCACACAAATCTAGATCTCTGAGTAACAAAACAATGAAAAAGGGCAACAACAAAAGCCTGTGGTGTAGCTAGACACAGCTACTTAGGACTTCTTAAAATATAACACAAACCTGATTTTTTTTTTTTCAGGTGACATGCAGCTCTGCTTTGAGGCAAGTTTGTTCCCACACGCTGAGAATCCAGCTGAAGCCCTCCCACTAAACTAACTTGAATAGATGCATGCATTTGTACAAGTAAAAATGCATTATCTTAATAATTGGCCTTTTTGTTGCTGTAATGCCATTAGAAACAACCATGCCACTGTATATTTTTCCTTCTTAAAACATCTCCCTGCCCAATCCCCTACAAGAACAAAAAAAAAAACAAAACTGGGAGATTCACAGCAATGCTTCCTGAATATTGCTTTGGTTATTTTGGAATGCTTTTAATATTATCAGTAATCATTTTTTGTAGACTGACGTGTGCTTGAATCTGGACAAGAAAACAGAAAAAGAAACCCATATAATAAAGTGAGGTTTAGTGGTCAGCACCATTTTTTCACCTCTTAGGTGAACTTTATGGAATACAGAAGTGTCTGCCTGAATCTGTGCTTATATAAGGGATATGGGACACCCATATATATGTTACACATTATTTTAAAACTATGAAAAATCAGAACGTATGAGGCTGGATCTTCATTTATTCATTTGTCTTTGGTGCTTCAACAGGCAATTTCTTTACAATCCAGGATTTTAATTTTTCTATTTCAGCTCTGTTCAGCTCATGATTGAGGTTTGGAAAAGTATGAAGTGATGCTGATACTCCCAGAGACTTTAACATCTTGTTGGTCTCTTCACCCCATGAGTAGAGAACTAGCTCATCAGCAGTTCCATGACACTGAAACAATTCTGGAAGAGCACTTTCATTTCTTTTCAAAGCCTAGATGGAAAGAAGACACTGTCAGACATACTGCCAAAAATATAAAAAGAATATTTACAACTACATGGTGATAACTTATTGTACTTACTGATCTACATTTTAGGGGTCATATTGTACTATCTCTATAGAAGTAAACAAGGAAATATTGGAAAAAAACTGCCCTTCAAATTCCAATACAATAACTCTTGACAAATGAGAGGGTTTACTTTAAGGTCTATACCCCTCTCCAAACAAGAGAAATAGAAAAAAATTTGTCACACCAAATGAAGTTCATGAGTATTATAACACATCACACATTTTCAAAGAATAGTTATACTTACACAGAATCTTTAACAATTAAGGACAACTAGCAAAGCATTTCATTTGTTAATCTCTTTCTACACTTTAATATTGTACTGTCTGTGCAAAAAAGTGCACTAAAACATTGTCTAAAGACAGCTTTAAAGCCTCGTTTTCCTAATATTCTGATAATCTATTTTCAGAAATGGCATAAGCTCAGAATGTGAATCAAATGCCCTAGATGTGTAAATATGTATAACGAATTTTAATCACCTTGTTTGCCATGCAGCTAAGCATGTTTTCTATAACATCTACTACACACTCACCTGGTAAACAGCAGAGTCTTTATTCAGAAAACTAGACAAGGCAAAGACTCCTGCCAGATCCTGATGAAACCTAAAGGCCAAATGCATTGCCATTCCACCTCCCATTGAAAAGCCTCCTAGGATGCAACAAAAGAAACAAAGATTGGATTTTTCTATGTCTGTGTAACCCAATGTACAATTTATTATCTTCAGACCTGTTTCTTTTATACATAATACAATAAAAAACACATCTTGAGTATCATAAAGGTTACAAAGATTTTAGAATCACAGAATCACTTAGGCTGGAAAAGACCTCTAAGACCATCAAGCCCAACCTATGACCCAACACCATCTTCTCAACTAGACAATTGCACCACGTTCCACATTCAGTCATTTCTTGAACACCTCCAGGGACAGTGCCTCCAGCATCTCCCTGGGCAGCCCATTCCAATGTTTAACAACCTTTCTGTGAAGAAATTCCTTCTGATGTCCAACCTGAACCTTATGTGGCATAGCTTGAGGTTTAAATCAAAACATGATGCAATTAAGATACTGGATAGCTAAAGCAGTGCTGAAGATTCATTATTGAGACAGGAAAAAAAAGCCATTATGCCATTACTTCAGAAGCCAATTGTGTATGGTCCCTATCAGGTAGCTGAATACTGTGGCCATACATACACTGATATTAACAAAGTAAAACTCTGTGAACAGGTAATTCTCACTGCTTATTGTATTCAAATTGCTCCCCTAGGCTAGCAGCATTCACACATGAAAGATCTCTATTGTACATAACCAATGAGCATTCACATGAAACTAGCATTGAGGATATTTTTGTTGCTATACCTTGGGATATATAATAAATAGGGAACAAATGCAATATACTCCCCATGAGCTCTAACAGGATCTCTGAATTAATGACCTTTTGTGATCCATATGTCTCCTCAACTACACTAAGTCCTTACCAAAGGTAAGGACTTAGTGTAGTTGAGGAGACAGGGATGATAAGGAGACAGGGATGATTTTTACATGACAAATGCTTATGCACTGGGAAAGAAATCCAGACTACCACATTACTTCACAAGGACACAGTACAAAGGCCATTATATTGACTGTATCCAGATAATGAATAGAGTGATGTTTCCTTTATTTTCTTATGGACAATCTGGTCACTTATTTCATTTCCTTTTGATCATTTTGAAGAGTGCTGTCATCCCCAAACCCCAAAAGAAGCACTTATACTCTAAGAGACAATTTTGCATTTGCTTACAAATAAATACAGACAATGCTTTGTCAACAAATAAAAATAAGTCCATTTTAAGTATTTCAGATTACAGGAAGAAAAGCTGCATTGAAAAGTCATTACTAGTTTGTAAATGATTTAATCTTAAAATTTTGTACCCAGTTAGTCACAATCTGGCACACTGTGTGCAATTACTCACCAGCAGTCTTTGACAATGCAGTCACCTTCTGTTTAGAAAAATATTAGGTAATGGCTCTTTTATGTGGCTCATACTACTACAAGAAAATGCAACACAAAGGACTAGCTCTTTGAATTTGATTTGCATGGGAATACCTGAAGTTTATCACCTGATACCACAACAATTTCTGAGTAAATGCCATATGGTAAATGCTTCAAAACCAACAATTTGAATAAGCATTTATATATGCAGACTATGTTTTCAATTGCAAGAACCATTTCAGTGTAAGTGTATGTTTGACATACCACATAAAAGACATTCTCAGTCAAGAACTTCTATAAGAATTCAAATTTTGGATGAAGGAAAAATAAGAGGCAAGCATAGATATTACACAAAACAATGGTATTAAATGACAGAGTGTAAACAAAACACAAAAGTATATGTATACAGATGATCTCAGCATGAAGAATACATAAACTGTACACATTTTAAAGCAGATTATGTCAGGAGTGTTAGACAAAATCAAAATGACACAGCAACATTTCATCCTTAGATGGGCAGAACATTGCAAGGCCTTCACCAATCTACTTCTCTACTTGAGACCAATCTCCTTGCAAGACACACAAAGACTGTGCATAGAAGTTCAGAGTTTGCCAGTAGGCCTTAAATTTAGAATTAAGTTCACTTTCAGTTTTCTCCTCATGACTATTTTAATGAGAACTGTGATTAATGCTTCACAGTTTAATGGGGTTAGCTCAACAATGCTCAGGATGCCAGTTCAGGAAAGCACCTAACTCTTTGTGTTAACTTCCCTGACTCACAAAGGAGACTTATGTGTAGACTAACAGGGGAGCAGACACAAAAGACTCAATTATGTAAAACACTTCCAGTTGCAGAGAAAGTTCACTCAAGGATGCATTTATGACCTCAAATCTGTTACAGTGTAGTGCTGATTTTTAGGTAATACTCCTCTGCAATAAGAAGAAAGCTGCTTGTGACTCAATTTGATAGCTGAGAAAGATCTGCTGAAATCACACAATCATCACACTTCCAAATTAAAGAATCTAAATCAGAAGGAAACACCCATGCAATACTTTACTAAAACAAAAACATTATTTTCTGGAATATAATCTGTAACTAAATTCAGGTAATCTTAGGCACGTAACACAATGTGAAAGGAAACTGAATTTCTCATACGGAATTTATTCCTGATTGCATAAAACAGAAATCCTCACCACAGCTGCCATTTTTCAGTGATAAAATAGTCCTTGTAAATGGCCGTAGGAGCCTTTTAAACAAAACTCCATCCCACTTTTGTAAAAGATCTTGATTTGTCTTAATTTGTTTCCCATTTGTATCTGCCTGAAATGATAATCTGGTCCCTGATGACACTTGAACATTATACGGAGTTCAGGAAACCAAGTATTTACCTACTGTCAAACTTTGTCTTTATTTGTTTCTTTATACTTTGTCTAACAATGTCTGTGTCTGCATCTCAGAGAAGACAAACTTTATTATCCAGCACAAAGATTTCTTTTGTATCTCCTGTCCTGTATACATAAGAGAAGGCTAAAAACTGCCTTCTCCCCATGCATCACTTTAGTGGTTGCAATGAGCTATTCTTGAATTCAAAAAGTTCTTTAGGTGTTCAATCTTCTTCACCGAAAAAACAGCTCTCTAGCACACAGAGGTTTGACGTTGCCAAGTGCATCCTGAATCATACAGACCTGACTATGAAATGCCTTAGTCCATTTGTTATAATGATTATGGAATTAGAAAACAGCAAACATCACTTTTTTCACTCTTTTCAGTAAAACTTTAACATTGCTTGCCATACTAGAAATCACAGCCATGGGGAAAAAAATAGTTATGAATCATAACTATTCTATGTGCATAACTAGTGCACAAATTTTGAAGAAAAAAAAGAACAAAAGAAGCTAAACTCCAGATTTTGATTTGGACTTGGGTGTAGGAGTGTAGTTTGGGGTGTTTGTTTTAAGCAATGTTTCTTCACTAGTTTCTCTGTGTTAGTTGTTCTTCATCTTTCCTGTATTTCTTCCCATTTGTCAGCACAGCTTTGGTAACAAAGTGTCAAGGTACACAGTGCCTGTGCCAGCACAGCACAAGACAAACACTCTTCTGTTTTATAAGACTACACTAGCACAGTCAGAAATTGTCTTGGCCCGTTCTGATATTATTACATTAATACATTACATTACATACTCTTGCTTCCTTTTCATTCCATTTTCACAGCATTTTTCATTCTCAATTTCTCCTTTTTCAGTATTTCAACTTAGAGTTGCTTTAATCGATTTGTTATCAGGAATTTCTCCTTAAAGCTACATTCCAGTTTACTTTCCCCTCTCCCTAGGGACTTTGTGATTTACCTTCTATTAACAGTAACAGCACAACCTTGTTCTACACATCATCTGCTAAGAAGCTGACTTTCTGTTTCGACCTTCCATTTTCATCAATAAATGGAAGTATTACATACATTTAACAGTGTTCACAAATGAGTATCAGCAAAGAGTACAGATGCCAGTGGAACAGCAAACTCCCTTCACCACAGAACTCCCTGAACACTGCTCCTGTGTTAGGTACACAAACACGTGGTTTGTCTCAAGTGAATTTCCTCACAGCAGTGATTTTCTTCTTTTAATCTCTTAATGAAACTTCATCAAACCCAAACCTTGCACAACACCAGCAGAACTGCAATGAATGGTTTCCACCTTTGATAGCCTTGTTATTCTGGTTGTTATTCTGGTTAGTCTTTACAAGAGCAACAAACTTGAGAGTCTTTACAAGAACAAAGGCAGCTTCCCTTGAGTGGCTCAGCCAGTCGCTCTTGTTAGGAATGTGAATTAATTTGGTCCCCAACTTTCTCACCGGTCTAAACACATTTTGAAATGCATATTTAAGTGGTACGACTTTTACCACTTTCTTGTAAAAACAAGTGTACTATTGTTTCTAGCATATCAACTCGCACTAAAACCAGAAGCAGTTACATTTTATTTTCAACTGTTACAGGTAATAGCGGGGAACCTAACATGTACACCTAAGGGGTCATAATTTTTAGCACTGGAAGGAAAATAAAATCCATGAAAAGTCTTGAATCAATTCTTATTAAGATGTTACTCTGCCAATCTATGGCTGGCTTCATTTACCCAGTGTGTTTTCTTAGTTGTTTCTGGAGAGGACAGCAGTCCTGCCACAACACATACCTGTCATTTTTACAGTCAGCATAACTGCACAACATGGGAAAAAGGAAGAGAACAACCCATCCTTTATGCTCACAGTATTTGTGACTCTAAACTGAATCACAGGAAGGAGAGTGGAAAACAGCTCTCTAAAGCAAAGAGTAGTGATGCACAGAAACAAGTCACTGTTCTGCAGAGCTGTGAACCTTCTGTTAGCAGAGACTCTTTAGAATTCAGAAAAGCAATGGTAAGGATTTGCCTAAATAGAGCTGAGCCCGCACTGGCACATGACAATGGAATAGCAAATGTTGCGAAGTCTCACTTATCTATGATTCTGTTGGCACAACTGTGAAGAAAGTACAGGTTAATTTGTACCCTGTGGCATATCTGCACAATTCTCAAGCATTCTAAAAGCCCATCCATCAATTTAATTTTGCACTGAATTCAGGCATTCATTAAAGATGACTAAGGACATGTCTTCAACAGAGTTCTCAGTAAGGAACTGAAAAGATCAGAACTTGA